GCTTTATATTTATCAATTGAATCGTTTGAAAAATATTTTTTCTTAAAAATCCATTTACACCCAATAGCCTTAGCTCCTTGAGGCAAATCTGCTAAAACTCAAGTTTTATTTTTTCTTAAAGAATCAATTTCTATTTCTATTGCTTCTTTCCAAATTTTGGCATCAGGAGAAAAAATAGCTTCATAAAAATTTAACGGTTTATCTTGTACTAAATAAGTGTAAAAATCATTTCCAAAACTTGTTTCTTTCCTTTGCCTTTTACCTCTCCTTAAAATCAAATCTTCATTTAAATTTTGTTCAAACTCTGAATTCTCAACAGGTTTAAAAACATGCTTAATTTTCAATGGAAAAATATGTTCAAAAAATTCAGCATCCTTAGTCTCTACAATTGTGTTTTTGTCTAAAATATCACTTTTTAAAACTAAAAAATGATATGCTGTACTTTGTTCAGCATACACAATAAATATACAATCGGATGTTTAAGAACCAATTTTTCTCGTTTTAGGGTCAGGTAATAAAACTTTTACAAAACACCCCCACACTTTCAAATATTTTAAATTTGGGGTAAACCCTTTCCATAACTGATAAGGTGTTTTCTTTGTTTTCTTATGAGGTATCCTATTTTGTAAAAAACATGCAAATAAAATAGCTTCACCCCATAAGTTATCAGGTGCAGAAGAACTCACGAACAAAGCATTCATCGTTTCTTTTAATGTTTTATTTTTTCTTTCTGCAACATCATTAGACTCAGGAGAATAAGGAGGTGTTATTTCATATATAATTCCTTCTTTTTCACAAAAATCATTTAACAAAACACATTCTCCACCTCTATCAGATCTAACCCTTTTAATTCTTTTGTTTAAATGATTCTTAAACTCTGCTTTATATAAAAGAAATTTTTCAAAAGCCTCATCTTTGTTTCTTAACAAGTATACCTTAGTATATCTTGAAAAATTATCAATAAAAGTGATATAATATTTTTTACCACCTCTAGTCATGGTTTGTTTTAAATCACTTAAATCTGTGTGAATTAAAGACAGTAATTCAGATTCTCTTTGACTAGAAAAATAAAGTTTTTTACTTTGTTTAGTTTCTGCACATACTTCACATTTTCCAAAATCATTGTTTTTAATTTAAGAAAATAGTCCAAGTTGTCGCATCCTATTTATATAACCTTTACTAGCATGACCTAGTCTAGTATGCCACAGATCAAAGGAATCAACCATATAAACAGGCATATACTCAGAAGATTCAGTCTTATTCATTTTATCAATATTCAAAAAAAAGTCCCTGATTACAATACCCTTTGCCCACAAACACATTATTTTTTGTCATTACAATCTTGTCAGATTCAAATGACACTTTAACCCCAGTTTTTCCTAAAAGAGCAACTGACACTAAATTTGTTCTAACTTCAGGCACATGCAAAACGTCGTTCAGAGCCAAACTCTTTCCTGATGTGAGCTTTAAGACCATTTTTTTTGAACTTTGGCAGTTCATGAATCAGCAAGGTAAACATGATCTTCCCCTTCCTTTACAAGATTATAGGAGGTAAACTTCTCTTTGCTAGCACATATGTGCCTAGTAACCCCAGAGTCTGCCACCCATTTCTTCATATCAAAAATCAAGAGAGCTTGTGACACCACTGTAGCAATGATATCATCATCACTGTCACCATCTCGTTGTACCAAATTTACATTTGACTTCCGAGACTTATCACGGTTTGCTCTCTTCCTAGACTATGCTGCATAGTGTCCTGGTTTACCACAGACAAAACAGTCTCCTTTCTTCTTAAAAGAGGGGTTAGAAGCATTGGGTTTGTAATCAAATTTCCTATTCTTCTTGTCTTTAGGTTTAGTATCATACCTCTTGTTGTGAGACTTTGTCTTCACCAGGTTGGCTTTGGATGTCATTTCTTTGGTTCGGGCTCCACATATTGCCTTGCGATTGGTGTCTTCGATAATGATGTGAGTGATCAGGTCAGTCAAGGACAGCTGCTTCCGTTTGTGTTTCAGCTACTGTTTGTGATCAGACCAAGATTCTGGCAACTTCTCAATTAGGATCCCAACAACAAACTCGTCTGGAAGGTTGATGTTTTCAGCACAAAGCTCCTCCAGCAGCTCATAATATTCGTTGATTTGCTCCTTCACATCCTTGTTCTCAGTCATCTCCCATTTGTAGTAGTTTCCCACAATGAACTTTTGTTTGCCGGCATCCTCAGCAGTGTACTTTGTCCCCAAGGACTCCCATATCTTACAAGCTTCCTTGTAGACACAGTAGACATCGAACAAATCATTAGATAAAATGCTAATGATAGTGTGTCGGCATACCTTGTTTGCATGAGTCCATGCAACTCTCTGAGCTGATCAATACCCGCAGGAGGCTCGGATTGAGCAAGAGCAGCAGCCACACCATACATGTCAAGAACGGTGAAGACCTGTTCCTGCCACCGTTTGAAGTTCCTGCCATCAAAGACTTCTATCTTTGATATGTCTGGGAATGTCCTCGGTAGGGGGATGGCAACGGCAGAAGGGACGTACTGACCTCCAGCCGAACCATTGGGCAAACCTTCGAGAGTGACATTCTCAGCACTGTTGGTCGCCATTGGGTTGCATAGTTCTTAAGATTGTTGGTGGCACCGACGGCAAACGTGAACAGCAAACTTCAAACTGCTTGAGTCGTGCCTAGAAGGACACTGTCCTTAAGAACTATTCCGACACACCAGGACGACAGACCTGTAGTTCCCCAGGATTAAACAAGCACTTCGTGCGGCGGAGCAAGGGAACAGAATAACAGAGACTAAAAGTAAACACAGACAAACAGAAGGCAGAGGGAGGAGAGAATTGCCTCAAAAACTCAAGAGGCTAGTCCCCTGTTCTGTCTGCACCCATGACTATATATAGCCCAAGGGAGGAGACATGAACATTGGCTCATGATCACTGGATTAAAGCTTCGGTTACACTCTCATAAATCATGTTTAAGCACTTGTCTGGCAGTTACACAGACGTAAAGCTAAAAATAATTATTTATTTAATTATTTTTTGTAAAAATAACCGGGTAAAAAGAACCCATTGCCTCTTGAACTCGCACGCAGGGGGGCAAATCGGTTGATTTCAACTGCGATTGCCCTAAGTTGGCCTGTCTCATATGCGCGCGGCCACTTCTCCTCCAAGCCCATTTTACTAGCCCACTTCATACACTAGGAGATTCCTTCTTTTAGTCAATGTGGGACTTTGACACACACACTTTTGACACATACAACAAGTTTTGTCTTGGAAATGACTATTATGGCATAAGATAAAATGACTAAATGCTATATTGATGTGTGAACTCGGTTGTTGTGACAACTTTTATTTATAAAATGGCTATTATTGCATAGAAAATGACTAGAACCATATATTAGTGTTTGAACTTCGTTGCTATGACAAGTTTTGTCTTGGAATGACTATTTTGGTGTAAGAAATGACAAGTCTGTTGTTGTTATGTTATTATGATTCCCTTCTACTTGTGTCATAACATGACAAGTGCCATTGTCTTTCATGTAGGAACAAGTGACCCACTTTAGGCATGAGTTGTTATGGTGGCTTGTTTATCATCCAAAGACAAAAAATTAAAGGTGGCTTTGCAATTACTTGATGCCAAAAAGCCTAGACAGAGAAGAGGGGGTCACCACTTGAAGATGTAGGATGTCTATTTCTAAATGTAAATGCTGGTAGCATTTCAACCTGTGATTACTATCTCAACATACCTGTAATGACTATTTCTAAATGTAAATGTTGAGAATACCCAAATTGTAAAGAAGATCCTTTATTTTACCTCGTTTGCGATAATCTTATTTTTATTATTATTTTTTTGGTTTTTGGTAATCTGCAATAAGCTAATTTTATTTGCATTGGGATTGTCACTTTAGGACATAAGATCTCCATATGGAAATCATGTGTTTGAATGTAACTATCATGGACCATATCATTATTTTGGCTGTAGTTGCCTTGTACAGCCTGTTCTGCTCACGTGTATTTAAGTAACTATGGGCATTGTTCATATACTTGTCCCTTGAGGGCAAGGGGTATTGTTATATAATTTTAATTATGAAAATAAATGACAGAAATGTTAGTTATTTAGTTAAATAAATTAGCCATTAGAGGGAGTCTATAAATAGGAGGGAATGCCTATTGTAATCTCTCTGTTTTTGCCTTAAGTAATACAGTCTCATCTTTCTGAATTCCTCTCTGTTCTTCTCTCCTCTCCCCTGAACTCTATCTCTCTTCTTCCTCTTTATCTCCTCTCTTCTATCTCTCTTCCTCTTTTCCTATCTCTGTCACAACTACAGAGATGCATCATATTCACCATGAACTTTAGCGCAACACATTTCTAAATGCCTTCAGCAAAAGTGAAAATGTGGAGTTGTGAACCCAATGAGAAAGTGGGCCAAGTTTATAAGAGATGAGGGCATAGGGCTCAGCAGGAGGGAATGGACCAAGAGAATAAGAAGACCAATGTGAGCCCACAGACCACTACTTCCAAGAGGGTAGACTGGAGTTAGTTTTCTAGAGTTGTGTGCCCTTGCGTGACACAGGAAGCTAGTATGTTGATGACCTAGGAGAGCATCTGACCTCTCTAACGTTAGGGAAGATATCATCTTTCTCTTTTATCACTACAGTTTTCTTATTTTCTGTGCTGTAATTAGGATTTGCTAGTCAATTTTGCCATTTTCCCTCTTCCATACTTCATTGAAGGGCACTGTACTAGCTAATCCTTGGTTAACGGAAATAATACTACTGAGTTCCATGAGAAAAATATTATCTATCCTCTCTCAATGTGTGGATACTAATAACGATTTTGGCACTGCCAGGTTGTTCATCTTATCTACATCACAAAACAAATGTATATCTTCAGCAAAAATATAAATGATTCTATTTTCTCTGTAATGAACAATCTAAATCCAGAACTTTATAAATGGATGCTGCTCAAGGATGAAAAATTCAAATATTATGAGTCACCCGTCATCATGCCAATAGGAGTTTGTATCCAACTCAGGTAGTACTAATGTAGCATTCATGATCCGTGCAGCAAGAACAGCATTAGAGATCTACAGGATTGAATACAACAAATTAATAATAATACATAATGCAGAATAATACAAGCATCCTAACAAGATCATTAGATTCACCTTGGTTCAAAATAAGTATTTATTATAACTTTCTTGCCACAGATATAAGAACTTACTGTTTAGCAGTAAAAATACATTTTTTTTTGGGACAATTACATTGAAGTCCCACACAAGGGAATTAATTACTACAAGATCCATTGACAACTAAACTAAGCTGTCAATGCAGTTTAGTTCAATTGTCAATGGACCTTGCAGTAATTAATTTCCCTGTGTAAGACCTAGCTGTAATTCTCCCTTTTGTTTTGCTTCACTTTAAGCATTAAATTAATAAATGAATGAATTAGTGAATACTCACAGAAACAAAATGTAATGCAGATTCATAGTGTGGGGAAAAAGTTACCAACCGCGCTACGCTGCTGATTTAGGCCACCATTACACCGAACACGCAAATAACCATTGCTCTCGCTGGGAGGAGCTGCCATAACATAAAGTCAAGACGTATACAGCATCAGAAAGTTCCAAGACTTCTACATTCAAACAAAAATCCTATCAAAAGGAAGTAATAAAAAATAAGAGTAAATTACATTTTTCATCCTTAAAGATAACAAAATGTTCATTCTAGTACTCTAAAGAGTGAGCCTCTCAATTTCATCCTTCAATAACTTCCCCCAATCAACTTAGTCCTTCTTTTTGTTTAATTGACATGAACTTGAGCTGCTTCCTTGACCTAACAAATTGATTTACTGATTATAAAGAAGGGAATGCCAACTTCAGGAAAATTGCAGTAATTTTATGAATGCTGTATAGTTTGAAAGCCACATAGGCATTAACTCAGTCATGTTTAACAAATGAATGGAATAAATTAACTGGCAGAAAATTATTCAGGGGGAAAAAAATTGAGAGGCTTACTATTTGGAGGACCAAATTGAAATTTTTTTAATCTTTCAAGAACAGAAAATATAATTCACCCTTGAAAGGAAAGGGAAATACGAGGCCAATGAGAACGTGGAGCTGATGATGGCCGCCAGCCACCAGAATCAGCATTACTCCAAAGTTCTTCTATACGGATCTGTTCAAACATAAAAGAAAATGAATCTACGGAACATGCATTCTCAAAAAACATTCTCAGAAAAACATATCATTTTTTAAACCCGAATTTTATATCATAAAATAAATTTGTTCACAGTTGTGTGCTCAGTTAAAGATCACAGTTAAACCATGATGACACATGATCCTTTTGTTTCTCTTTTTATGATACAAAACCAACTTTCTCCCTGACCCATCATTTAAAACATGGATATTAAAAAAATTTACCTCATTACTATAATCCAATGACTCTTTGAAATTTCAATCATTGTACAAAATTCATAAGTTTTTAAATTTTTAATGAAACAGTAAATTAGATTGGCCAAAGAAATGAAACAGTCTATCAGACATGCAAATCACAGTACTGAATAAACTAAAACAAAAGTTATCATAGCACGACTTACTCAAAGAATAGGAAATTATATGTAACAATCATAACATAAATAATTAGAATTTTGTCAATAATAATCCTTAGTTTTGTAATAAGTCGTTATAATATTCTTACTCCAAGTTGCTGAACCTAATTTGGTGATGCTGCAAAGCATTGTTGCTCATATGATAGTCTTTTGAAAAGGATATCCAATCATTTGAAACAACCAGCTCTAATTTTTAGAGACTCGGCCTGCTCATTTGCCATCCTTTTGAAAGATAAATTCTCAGTACCATCATAGCCACAATTAGAGGCACCACATCTTCTTCTATGACAGTACCTAGTGGCACTCAATCCTTTTTACAACTTTTGCAAAGTCTTATCTCTCAGACTTCAGAGGTTCAAACATATCACATAATTTACCCAGAAATGTAGACTGCAAAGCCTCTGACAAAACTTCCGCATCACCAACATGAAGCTAATTCTTTATATAACACTAGGAGTCTAGCAAATAAAGCCAAAGTGCTTCATCCCGGCAGAAAATTATAGTACCCATATCCTAACTAAGATCCAAAATGCAAGATTCTCAAAAGTTGTAACTTGTTGCATGAAATGTCAAACTGTGAGAGATTCATAACTGAAATCTCATTGTTTACCTTAACTAATGATGCAATAAAACAATCCGAAACTTTCATTACTCAGAACATCTTTTTTATTTGCTTTCTTTTTTCCTTTAAGGCAATGATAAGAAACATGGGATCACAACACAGTTCCACTAACCTCCGAGCGGTACTTGGATTGACCACTATTAGTGCTTGTAGAGGAAAACAAGAATGAAATTGTACAGATCAAAGCTACAAAAACAGCAATTGATAGTTTCACAACCATCCCCTTCAACCCTCCCCCAGCTCCTTGCCTCACATGCTGCCTGTGAAACCCAGCTCTGGAAAAAATAACAAAGCAGCATTGCTCAAAGAACAATAACCCATAAAAATATAAGCAATCAAATCAAACGTCAAGCCCTGTCTCCCCCTACCTTCTCATTGTTAAAATTCAGCGGCGCGGTTTTGAGAATTAGCTCCCTCCTTCAACCACGACAATTCTCCAGCATTACCCGTCAGTGACCGAGGCACCAAGTAAACACCAACAATTGCTACAATATAAGGCATAACCAATCATCCGTCAAAGAGCGTAAAACACCGATGTACTATGTCATGCTAAGCATTGGCATACACGACGAAGAAGCTGAAAAACGAATAGGCTACAATTAATATACTAATTATGAAGCTGAGATCGGAAATGAGAAGACAAGCACCATGAGGAGGAAGAGCACTTGGCTTTGAAAGACGAAGGCTGATGCAGATCACAAACAAGTTCTTAGGCGGGCTTTAAGATTACGAAGACGGAAGCAAGAGTCTGACTGTGAGAAAGTAGTCAGATTCCATTACAACAGGATGCGTTGCTGGTTAGTCATGTATTTACTACTCAGATCTTGCCGCGTGGGTCGGTTTCTCGGATGGATATGATCCAATTAGCTTCCCAACAAATAACAATCTCCAGGCGAGGGCGGATCAGGATGGAACTTGTGCATTTTCTTAATGAGGAAGTCATCAATTAGGCCCACATTTTACATCCAATTTTATATTAGTCCCCAATAAGATTTGACCGTAGACGAGAGTGGGAGTTATGGCGAAGGAGAGATTGATTGATGGAGGAAGCGATCAAGATGGTAACCATCGAATGTCGAATGCCTTCAGGCTTTTGTTTTGTGAATGGCAGGGCTGTTGTAATAAATCTAAAAGGCCTTCAGGCTTTTATTTTATGAATGATAGGAAATGTTGGGGCTTTTATTTTTAAAGCATTAGTTTCGAAACAGAGGAAAATATATTGAAAAATTCTTTTAATGTAAAACAAAAAGAATTGTAACTTAGAATAAATTTTAAAGGTGAATCAAGAATTCTAGAAGTCAAAAGAAATAGTTTTGATATTTGTGAGAATATAGAAAGTTCAAAAGACATCATTATGAAAGTTTAATGTAATCAAGTTTAACAAGAAATGGATTCTAGTATAAAAAGGTACATGAATTTCGAAATTTAGATGCTGGTTTTGAAGCTTGATTTTTTGAAGATATAAATTCTTGAAGTAGCTTATATTAATTCTTGAATTTATGTCAGCGGTGAGTTTTGGAGGAAGAACATATACATGTTATGTTGCATTGTATGAAAGAACGAATGCGAGAATAGAGTTATATTATCAATCTCAATTCATGTTGCATGACAAATACACAGATGAATGAATGAGAGAAAATAGATGGAAGTTAGTTGTCTGAGATGGATTGCCCAACAATACGTAATAAATCTTCTTCGATTCAAAATAGATTGTAACTATTGAGTGTTAGTTAATGAATTATTTTATACCACCAATAATATAAGATGTCAAATGCTCCTTAAAAGAAAATTTAAGAGTAAAATTGGTATAAAGCCTAAAATAATTTCAAAGAATTAAATTTCTTTCAATTAATATTATATGTTTTTCTTTTTTGAAGAAAAAGACCTACGTATATTAACATAAAAAAAAATAAGACAAAGTCAATAAGTCAAAGTAATAACAAGAGAACTAAAAGAGGGAAATAGAGAAGTGTTGTGACGTGTGTGATTGTGGTTGGTCTTCACAAAAGAGCAGCTAACAAAATGATTCGAAAGAGAATTTATATCTTGCATCACAATGTTGCGGTTTGCTCTATTCTAATTCTCAATTCCAAGCATGAGCCCTTTGTTAGAGCAAATTTTAAGAGAGCATTGTTGGATCCCATATCTTGCAAATGCTTGCTCAAAGTTTTTGATCCAGACTAACAAGCTTCTAATACATGACTCCATGAATAGAACTAGCAGCCAAAAAAGCAAATTTTCAAAACATCATACCTAGATTTCTTCTTCATTAAGGATGATACGATTGTGATAGTAAGGTACACTTCTCCTTTTGAATTTCCATATTTTAATCTCCCACACTAGCATTGAGTTTTAAACCCTTGAGTCAACTGAAGACCTATTAAAATCAAAGATTTTCTTACTAAGTTCATAGGAAGGTCTACTTGAATGATAAGATTCCCAACTACATGTTATCTTGAGAAAAATGAAATGTTCATTAAACTCCTAATGACCGTTTGAACTAAACATTTGGCTCAATCGTGAATGAGAATATTCCTCTTGAGCTAAATAAGATGAAACAAAGTAAAGATTCTCTCCAATGTGATTAAATCTTGCTTATGATACTAAGACCCATTAGAATCTAGTTATCAAACCATACTCTGATATATCCATGAAGCGGATGGATAAAGCTTTAAACCAAATAGCCTTGGAAAAGTGATAGAACACATTTGTTACACACTTATCTATGTCAATTAAGACCATTTTATTAATTTTGTACCATTCAAAGTACATATATTATATTAGAATTGAAAATTTTCCTAAATGTCTAGGTTTAATGCACTAGAAGTATTTTGATCAAAAAATAAAATTTTGAAAAAATGTACAAGAAAAATTTAAAAAAATGTATTTTAAGTCCAAAAGAAGAGTGATCAAATTATATTTTTGAAATTCATTTTAGTTTGAGAGTAATTAAATAAAAAGTCAATACTTTCTCAAGTGTGCTAATTTGACCTAGTTTTCAGGTTACATTTATGTGAAAATTTTTATATGATTTTGTGCAGCCAAGAACTTAGTTATTTTAATAAATTCTTCCTTCTAAACATGAATTAATTTTGTACTTAAGTTAGATTTTATGATATCACATGTTATTTAATTGAATTATATGATTTTTGTTACATAAGTGATATGTGACTTGTGCATCAATTAGGCAAATGAAGTCAAAAGTCCATGGGATCAAAGCTGAAACATTTGGACATGTTTTGCTTCATATCGGGTAGTCTAGATTAGTTTAAAATATGGATGATACATGGGATTAATTTAACACACATTGGAATCATCTACAAATTAAGAGGAATGTGCCACCTTGCAAGTGTGACAAGGCCCTAAAAATCCTTTGTATTTTATTTTCTTTTATTTTAATTAGTGTTTAGTTGATGCCAACAATCTAAGCATGTCCCATACTTCTCAATTTCAGATTCAACACTCCATTTCATCATCTCTTCCATTCTCTCTCTTTAGTTCATCTTATTCTTCATTTTTCAAGCACCCTAACCTTCATTTTCAGCTACCAAACCTCCACAAAACCTACATCATTTTCATATCTCTCTTTGCTCATCCCATCCCTTCCATTCTCATACGAATTTAAGCTCAATTTTTTTTTATCCAAACTTCTATGAATTTTGGCCAAGATGTACTTCTCTTAGGGTTCTTGAAGATGAAGATAGTTGGCTAAGTTTCTTAGTGGATTCCTCAAGAGATAAAGATAGAGGATGAATCTAGAGCTTCAATTAGCTAAGTTTCTTTTGTTTCCTATTCTCTTCTCTTTTTACTAGATGATTAGATGTCTTAGTCTAGAGTTTGATCATCTTGACTTGTAAATTCTAATTTGAATTTGATCTTGATGTAAAGAGAAGAGGACTTTATTGGTTAATTTCTTCCTTTTGTTGTCTTAGTGATTTTTGGCCACTTGGTGATTAGCACATACTCTTGTGTTTTTTATTTAGTGAATTACATGTGTTGATGTTGCATAATCTTATATTGTTAATAATTATATTGTTGAGTAGCTTGACATAATCTTGTGATTGCTCACTTCATTGTTTAGCCATGGCATTTGAGGGGAGAATTTGAGTAATTCACTTGGCTAATCTTTGCACCAATTAGTTAATTGAACCAAGAACTTTAATCTAAGACCTAGGGAATTTAGTTGATTAGGTTAATTGGCTTAGGATAGTCTTCTTAAGTCAAGATAGCTTTGTTCAAGAGGAAAGTGAACCTTAATTTAGCCTAATCACATGAGAATAATAATTTCAAAATCAACTAATCTCTAGAGTTCCACGGTCTTGAAAAAGAAAAGTCTATTACATTCACTTTAGCTAGCATTTTAATTACTTATGAACTAGGTAATTAGATAATCAATTTCTACAACTTTAGATGATTTATTCCAATAGATAGCCTTATATTAAGCTAAAACCATTCCTTAGGAGATGACCCAGGTTAGGTCTATAGTACATTAGGGTTAATTTAGTTTTTTTTTTTTTAGGATTGAGCAATAAACCATATCAAAAGGGGACAGTCACAATATATATGACTTAAGGTTTCAAGACAGTCATAACCAAAAGCACAAAGAATAGAAGTCTATAAATGGTGATTATAAATAATGTCACTAGTAAGGATTTCCTTGTTGATTAGCTTCCAAATGAACAAAAGAGTTTTATAAGGTACATTGAGTTTCAAATAAAACTCCATATCTCTTTATTAGCAAGTAGACTTTCCTTCATATCTTGAGTAAGATAAGAGTAGCCTAAATGAATAAAATAAAAACCTTTGCTCTACATAATTATGTCAAAGGTCTCAGAGAAAGATATTGGAGTCTCTAAAATTGCTTTGACAAAGTTAAAATCATGTAAATACTTAATTAGGGGCATGTTCCATTTAGCTACTACCTAAGGGTTTGGACTTGGATAATTAGACCAAAAGTTATAAAGATAACCCGTCGTTGTTAAGCATTTGAGTTTGACATTTTCCACTACAACTTATGTGAGATAAAGATGGATTCTCCATTTGCAACCTGTCAATGTAGATTTTTCTTGAAGAGATCAACAGACTTTGATATCCCTTTCTAAAACCAGAAGTATTATAAGGAATTTTAATAGAATAACCATCCCTTTGGTCTAGATATTGGAGTTTGACAGTGTTTCCTAAGAGAGAATGTTATTTAATTAAGATTATCCTCTATATTTGTTAGCTAAAAGAGACAAATTCATATTTTTGATGCTTCTCTAACCCAATTCTTCATCTTTGAATAAGATAAATAGTAAATTTTTTTTGGCAAGATGTATGCACTTCTTTTTCTTCATCTAAGCCTAAAAAAAAATTGACCAGTTTAGAATTAATAGTATTGCAAATGTGCTACAACAACTTGACACAAGAAAGAATATAAATATTAGAAGTAGAATGCATTGATTTTATTGAGGTGAATCTAGAGGCCTGAGAAAGTAATTTAGCCTTTCAAGAGGAGATTCTTCTATCAATAGAATCTAGGATGGGTTCATAAATTTTGGATTTATCCTTTTTGGCATCAATACAAGTACTAAGGCACTTCTCGAAGGATTTAGAAAGCTGAATTCCAAGTTCATTTGAAATTTCCATCTAGAACTAAGATGGAACATTCAAACTTAATAAAAGAGAAGATTTCTACAAGTTAACTTGATGCCCAGACCAGGAGCTATATTTTTTAATAGCTTCTTTAATAAAAGTCAAACCACCTCTTATATAATGAAAGAAAATAGATGAATCATCAACAAACCATAAGTGAGAGACATAATAAGAATTTTGACTTATTTTAGGTCCTTTGAAGTCACCTTGTTGCTCTTCATGGATCAAGAGGCAAGAAAGCACATTAGCTGCAACTATAAAAAGGTAAGGAGATAAAGAATCTCTGTACCTTATTCCATTTGTGGGGTAGATAGGTTATAAAATCTTACCATTAAAAATGGTGATATATTTAATAGTAGAAATACATTCCATGATCATATTGATCCACTTACTAGGAAAGTGCATTCTACGTAGGACAGTCTTGATACAAGACTAGGAAACCCAATCAAAGGCTATTGAAAAATCAAGCTTAAGG